CTCCAATTTTCCAGAAATGCTAAAGTCAGGAGGATGCTGTCAACATGGCAGCTTATAGTGCTGCTTCACTGCCAAGCATAAAACTTCTTATCATTTTAAATGTCTGTGTCAAGCATACTCATCCACTGCTCAGGAACAACACATTTTGTTTCAAGTCATTATGGTTTAAAGGTGACAGTGGTGAGTGGAAAAGGCCAGCGATCACCTGTGCTGCTGTTTGACAACTTTTGCTAAGTCCTCATTTTCAAGGAGGTAATTTAGAACAGTTGTTGCCTGGGGATGTTTGACTCTTGTATTGTCCAACAGAAGAGTATTGCAGAATTCTCCTTCTTGGTGGTCCTTGATATCAAACATTAAATCACAAAAATTATTTTCTCAGAATTTTAATGGACTCAACTGCATGTACAATTGTAATTAATGTAAAGATAGTAGTGGGTTCCCAAAAACTCCTTAGTTAAGGAAATGTGGATACTTACATATAAAGGTAATTAGATATTTTTAATATTAGCTGTTGCTAGCTAGTTGCTCATTCACTTTGCAAAAAAAAAAAAAAAAAACAAACCAAAAAACAAACAGCATATTTATAGGAAATTTATCATTGCTGGATCTGCTGTGTAACTATAAATATTAAATTAAATGTGATATAAAATTCTTTTTCTCTTGTTTGATTACTGACAACAGATGCTTAATGGTGTGTATGAATGTAATGCCATATGTCATATAAGGCAATGCGGCAGTTTTTCAGAGGAAGTAATAATGTATCTTGTTTTACTTAATATCTTTCTAATGATAGCATATGGAGGGTCATATTGGTACCACAATACGGGGAAACTCACAATTTGTGAAAACAAATTCATCTTCCTCTCTGTTCTGAAAGTACAGCTGAGCTGTGAACACAACAAGCATAGAGGACAGACAAAAAAGAATCCTTTTTTTTTTTGTTTGTTTTTTTTTGTTTATTAATTTTGTTCTTGTACTTTCATTTAGGGGATAAATCTTTATGGTGAATGGAAACCCTTTCATTTATTTTTGCCCATGCATAAAAGAGGTTTAAGTTTCATTAGATTGGCCTGTTGGCCTTTCAGTCTCATTTGTACAAAAATGCTGAAATCACAACTGTAGTTTTGTGGCAAACCTTCCCCTCTGATTTCACTGCTATTTCTTTATGTAATTTGTTTACAAATCAGTTTCCACTCCACAAAATCCAGCACAGTACAGAACTATCACTTCTGACATGTGTCAGTGTCACATTTATGAACTAGTATTTAGCAGTAGTAGTGCTAACAACTGTTTCTCAAAAAAATCCAGAAACTATTTAGAAATTTAATCACGATTTTTAGCAATGTATTTTGTCTAGTCTCCAGACTCCACTGAATTAAAATAGTAACTCTGTCAAGGTGGAAATCAGTTTCTGAGTTCATTTTTAGGAGAAAATGATTCACAAACAGGATAGTGACAGGCTTTTATGATTACAGATTTCACATATTCTACCTCTTCAAAAGAGCTTATAGAGATTGATAGATCTACAAAGAAAGAAATGAAAAAATGAAGGGAAGAGATATAAATAGACTTTTTCATTAGGATGAATGATGGAAGGTAATAACCCCACTACCATAGTATGCCTTTAACATGTCCCTTTTTTTTCCATTCCTTTTGACCTGCTACCATCTTCCTTCTAAGTAAAAGTTAACTACAGTATGAAATGTAGGTAGTTTGAGCAATAGCTGGAAATAAATGTTTCCTCAAGCATTATTACTGTTCAGAAAAGTGTCCATCAGCTGAAATGTCAGGCTCCAAATCCATTTAAGCACTGCATAGAGGCTAAACAGGCAGCTATTATTAATTTTTAAGTCTGCTTGATGGGTTTTAGACCAAGAACTGGGGTTAACTCAATGCACTAAATATTGCAGAGTATATTTAATTAGGGAGGCTTTGACACTCAGATGGCTGAGGATTTATTCTGTGCAAGCTACTGCTTAAAATGTGATGGAATAGCTGCATCTACCTAAGAAAAAGGTCTGCTGCATCATATAGAAATGTATAAAATTGGACTTTGTTGCAGGTTTTTTGACTTTTATCCCAATGTAATCACTGTCTACTTTTAATCTGTTTTGAAGCACCACTGTGTTTACATCTAGAATAATTTTCTGTCATTATGCTGCATGTTAGCAATGTGAATTTCTCCAGAAAAAGTCCTGTTCCTCTCAGCTAATTGTCAAACCAAACAATTTTCTTACTGTGCCTTAAACAGATGTTTCTTTATTAAAAACATATATGTGGGATTCCTATGAAGGGGTTAACACTTGTCTATAATGTTTTTATCTATAAGCATAGAGGGTTCTAAAACAGAAATGGGTACAAAGACACAAAGTGAGGTATTAAAGGGCTGTTTATTTGCTTTTGATCCAATTCAGAATCTTAGAAGGCAATAAAAAAGTAGCAAGTCAGAAATTACTTCTTTCCAATGGTTGTAAAAACTCCTAGCTGTATCTATTCCACTTCTTTGCTCCTCTTTTTCTGTCCTTTGTGCACTGCTCTGGCCCCTGCCCCCAGTCATTCCCTGCCAACAAAGAAAACCTATTCACACAAGAGTATAGAAGATCAAATGTAAAGATAGAAGTGAAATGGGAAATTTGTCCATTCCTAACAAAGGACATTACACCATATTTTCCAAGACAAGTGAGGTGATTTTCACTTATAACAGAAGAACAAATTGTCATTGACAGTTCTGAAAGACAAGCAGAAATTAAATGCAGACCCCTGAGTCAGTTGAGGAGAATGGGAACTGGGTTAGTTCTACATACTGGATCACCTTAGCACTTGATGTGTTTTTATGGGTTGATAAATATGTTACCTGTTCTCCATTCTCAGTCACTCAAATTTTCATCTGTATGGCTGGAAACCCTCAAAAGACAATTAGGTGAGCTCACCATCAGAGGGAAATGAAGCAGCCCCCATCTCTTCTGACATAGACATGTTTTCAAAGTGAACAGGGCCCTTAACTTGGAAAAAAACCCCTCGTGAGGCCTTGAATGTGTAAGCCACATATGGTCTGTAGCACATGACTGCAGTTCCCATGAACATGGAAAATTTCCTGGGAGTTTTGACTTTCACACGTGCTAAAACAAGGTGTGTGAATCACACTAGAAAGGGCTAAACAAAGCCAACAGTAATATAACATGTTTTTGGAAAAAATGGAAGAGTCTGTCTTCCCAGATACCAATGCATCTGTGCTTGCATGTGGGTGTGCATGTGCACACACAATTTTTACCCTTCAAAGGCACTGCATTTGTGTCTTCCTCATCAGCCTGCAGGTCTCCCCTAAGAGAGCTGATATAGCCCCCCCCCCGTTCCAGGCATTTAGTAACTGTCTCATAAACAAAGTTTCCAGCTATCCCTAAGAAGCCCTGGCTACTGCCCTGACTCATCAGAGCCACAAGGACAGGAGCAGTGTCTGGATTTCACGGAGCAAAGGCTGTGTTTATGCATCCCAAGCCATACAGCCACTGTGCTGCTGTGCCATCTGCTGATGCCCTGTGTTACCAGCTCCTGCCTAACTGGCAGCTTCCAGCTTTCCCAGAAAGCATTTTCTGGGCTTTTCTCCTCAAGCCCTTATTTATGTTTATATTTCTTCTCCAAGTGTTCATATTTCTCTTTTACAGCATCCATCTTTATCCAGGCTCTTTTTGCCTTTCCACAGTACAATATGTGCACACCATGCTTATGCCTTACCTCTCAATTTTATCTGAGGATTTCTTTGACATATTTTCTTCCTAATAAAACCTTTAAATGAAAGTGTTAAAATAGATTTGATACTAATGTCTGTTGCATTATGATGGAGAACTGAACATTGTACCATTTGTAGCAATGGAAAAATATTTTGTTTATAGTCCTTCACACTGTTTTCAATGAAACAATCTGCTTTTCCATCATAGACATGAATTACTTGAATTATGTTTTCAATAAGATTTTCCAGGTATTATCAAATACTTTCCTATAACCTAAATTAATATTTCCTACGATATTCACCCACTAGACCTAATCTGTGAAGAAAGATAACTGTGTAAATATTTATGAATAATACTTTGTAAATAAATATTTAGTTGCATGTTATTTATGCTATAGCCATAAAATGCTATTGACTTTAGTTCTTTTTTCCCCTAGAGAGAGCTATTTTACGGTTTACCTCCTTATAAATGAGAGGAAGTAATGTAAATGATCACACATTGTTCCTTTTTTAATTTGTTCTTGTATTTGCTCCCCTGCTCATCCAATATTTTTCCATTCTCTCTACTGCTTTTACCAATGGCTATCCCAGTCATGTGGGCATGGTGACATCCTCAGAGAATTCTCACAACCACTTTTCACACAGCATCCTACCAAAATGTTCAGCATATTCATTTTTTTCCAATACTCTCTGAATGATTTTCTGAGAAATACTTTCCTAAGGTGTGCACATTTTCAAACTTTTGGAACAACATGAGTATGGATATAAGGGTTTCATTGACAAAAGCAAGTTAAGAGTATGAGAATATTTTAAATGCATGGCCTAGGTGCCTGTAAACATAGTTCAGATTTACCTAATTATTGATCAGAGTGATACTGCACATGGCTTGGTCTGTCCTCTCCATTAATTTTACTGCTGATAAAGATGTCATTTGGAAAAACAGATTAAGAGACTTGAGGAGCTTTAATTCAAATGCAAATGTACATCCATAAAGACATACATACCTATATGTATGCAACATGGATCACATAATTTTCATCATTGTGACTGGCTCATGTAAAAGGTTCACAAATCTCTATGAAGAAGTTCAGAAATTCCAATCCCACCTCCATAAGTTGTTAGCACCTAAATAAGTATGCCTTTGAGCATAATTGGTTGTACACATGAATGCCAGATTCTGCCATTTTTCAAACTTTGTTCTTTGCCTTGGTAGTTTAATGCAAGACTAAGTTTCAGCCCAGGTACCTTGGCTCCAGAGGTGGTGAGGTGTGTATCAGTACTTACAGCTGTCCTCCTCCTCCATGAAAATACTGATCACATAACAGGCATACACAAATCCAATCAGCTGTGTGAAAAAAGAGGAAAAGCCATCATTAGAACACACTGAACACTTACAAAGCTGTTACTACAATGATATATACAGGTATCACAGCTAAATTTTAAATATATTTATTTCTATTTCCCAAATTTACAAATTTCAGTGCAAACAGCTAAATTAATATCATCTCTTTTGCTCATGTTGCATAACTTATATTTTTTATATAAATATGCATTTTATAGTTTAAAATATTTTCCTAGTCTCACTGGAATCGGTATTGATGAATGCTGCTATTGAGTAATACTGGTGGAAAACATTTGTATCCTGATGTTCAGCTATTATTTACATTTCCTTGTTCTTCAATACCTCTGTTCTCACATGACTTTTCCCACATGAATGTGGGCCCCTATGCACTTCATATGCTTACTAAAATGCCAAAATATTTATTGACTGCTACAAAATTAAGTCATAGTAACACTTCTGTGGAATCCACAAGAGATGTCTTTTGGTGCTACATGAAGTGTCCCAGTGAAAAACTGCTAGGCAAAATTTTAAATTGATGGGTGAATTGTCATGATGTAACTGAACAGTAAAACTGGGTTATGATTCATTGACATCAGGAAACACCTTATTTCATGTCATTCATGTTAACTATACAGGAAATGAACAATATCATTTCCCCAAAGAACAACAACAGTCAAACCATGCCATTATTTTAACAGCAGCACCCATGAAAGCATTCTCCTTAACCCAGATCTGTGCCACTTGTGCCACCAAGAGGAAAGGATAAAGCTCTTTAGGATCAAGAAGTAGCAACTCCACTCTCTCCTTATCCATATAGATAAAATATTTTCTTATGACCATGACCAAAGACGAAGAAAATCCCACTGGGCAAGGAAACCTATTAAACTGCACAGCCAGACATGTCCAATCTTGAGAAAATATTGTTTGTGCAGCTGTACACAATTCATGCCATCTGAAAGACTTGAAAAGACTCTTCATGGGAGATTTCAAAAATAGCCCAGAGATTAGTTTTAAGAACACTCCTATTTCCCTGGTCCATTCAAAAAATCTAATTAAATAGTTATTCTAAGGATGTCACGGATCAACCATCTGAGAAAGAGGTAATTTAATAGTATCTAGACAGGTATAAGCTCCTTCAGAAGCAGAAAAATCATTCCAACCTGCTTTCTGGTTGGGCTGCACGAGGAGCAAAAGCTTCTCTGCAGACAAAAAGCTTGTCCACACAAGGGAATTCGGGGAAGTTAAGATGAATTAACTAAAGCTTTGAAATCAATGCACATAAGATAAAGTACATTAAATCCCTGTGTGGCCTTTCCCATTCAGAAATAAAGTGGCCCTAGTTCACTGCAGCTTAATCCTTCTCCAAGGGATTAATCTTCCCATGGAGAATTAAGCTACAGTATGCTGAAGCTGAGCTACTTGTGAATGAGGGCTGTCACAGCACTGTGGCACAGTCCTGTCAGAGCTTCCTCTCCAGGGCATTCACCTCACCACTGTTTTCACAAAGTGACTTCAATCCAACTTTCCTCTCATTCTGAGCACACTACAGGGAAGCTGCTGAGCTTCCCTGACTGCTTTTTGGTGTCCAGTTTGCTGTGTGGTATTGCCACAGCCTCTCTCAGGTGAACAGCACTTTGTTGCATTGATGCTCTGAGACAGCTAAATGCAATCCAGCTCTGGAGGAGGCTGGGATGGATCCGTGCCTGAGCTGCCCATCCCCATGTGCCTGGTGCCAGGGAGGCTGCAGCAGGATGGGACCCACAGACACGGCAGGGCTCACTTTACCTGCTGAGAATTGTGTGGGTGGCTAGGAGTAGTCCAGCTCCTGCTGTTAATGACAATGGGATCTTATGGTTCTGCTGCCAGCGCATCTGGGGCCAGCAGTGGCTTACAGACTCCTTGACAGATTAAACACACTTTTTCCTTAAACTTCACTTTTTCCTTAAACGTCACAGTTTAGAGCACCTTTCAGGCATGACAACTAAAACAATACAATATAAAGGCTTCCAAGAGATCAAAAGACAAATCATACCTGAGATGCAGGGCTTGTGCCACCTGAAGGTTACATATAATTTTAAAAATATTGCATTAGTGCCACGGAAAAATCCGAACACAGGTGATTTTTCATAACAGGATGCCACCTGTTTATTTACAATGTTTCCTGATCACCATTTGTGTTGTGCAATTTGACTGCATAAGTCATTTGGGTTTGTTTCTTTTTCTTAAACATGACTAAAATATTTTTAAGATTAAAACTGCTGAACGAATAATGAACATGATAGAAATTAATTGTAGTACAGGCTGTGGGTTAAATGTTTGTGAAGGATGATCAAATATTAGAATTATTTACTCTTTCTCTATCATGCATTTAGTTTTTCTTATTAGTAGTATTCTGTATTAAATTAACTTTATTTTTATAAACCCATTTCCTTCTTTTTAAGTATATATAGACTCTATATCCTTGTATATTATATAAAATATATCTCTGTAAGTGTTTCCAGCAGATTTCTCAAATGTCTAAGATGTTGGACAAGTGGATAAAGCACAGCAAGACTTCCACTCTAACAAGTAATAAACGACCTGACACAGAGAAAGCAATAGGGAAAAGTGCTCAAAAAAAGCATTCAAAAAAATGTGGGTCATGACAAGCTTGAGTTTTAACAGTCCTAAGAGTTTACATCCTGCTTTTTTAGTAGACCTTCTTCTTAATCTTTTCCCACTCTCTTCAATGTTTGAAATGCACTTTGCCTAATCTGTGACCTTCTTGCAAAATCAGCAGCCTTTCTCTACTTCTCAGAAATATATTTTTTATTCCTCAGCATTCGAAATCACTGCTAGCTGTTGTATTTATGATGTATATTTGTTTAGAACACACCATTTTCCCCATCTGTTTAGTTATTAATACAAGGAGAAATAAAAAAAAATTATATATTTTTTATATATATATATATGCATATATATAATATATATATATGCACCCTCTTTCAATTTTGTGGTCTTTTCAAGGGGGGAAAAAAAAGATGAGGTGACTAACCATAGCCCTCCATAATCCAACAATATCTTTCTGTAGTTAAAAGTCAGAATGCATTTTTCTGAAAGAATAAAAAAACAAGGAGAAAAAAGAGCCCTTTAGCATCAAGTGTCAGGTATTGCTGCTCGAGGGGTCAGCAATGCTTGGCTTGTAACTAACAAACAAGTAGTTGTAGTTGGATAACTGATATCTACAGCACCATTAACCAGAAGTGATAAAGTGGGAATATATCCTTTGACAGATGAGGCTTGTTTCCACATCCTTAACCAGAGTTACAGCCACCACTGTGTGAATATTTTTGTAAATAAATCAATTAAAACCACTTATTTTGTGTTATTGATGGACATGCTAATAAAATATTTATTCCAGCAAATTCCTTTTGGTATCTTGATTAACACAGCTGCTATTTAATTAATAGTGTTATGCTCATGTGAACCCATCTAGCTATCAGGCTAATTGCCAGTCTTGGTACTGGAAATGTTGGCTATTGGCCTGGCACCAAGTGATAAACTTAAACGTGTGTTTCCTGATAACCAAAGCAATTATGATGCATATGAGCTGGAAGATTCTTAATTTGGTCATCTTGAGTTGCAGTAAGCATTCAAAGGGACTGATGAAGGGGTTGGAACATGATGTCCAAACCATCAAAGATCACTAGAACCTGAAAGTATAAATAGGAGCCTCTGACTTGATCCAGAGAGAAATATACAGAAATATACAGCCAGGAGGCCTTGTCTTGACGGCACTGAGTTCAAGGCATGGAAACCTTCTGGGATCCCTGCACTGTACAAGACTGCCTGTCTTACCTGGAGAGCCCAGACTAGTTAAGTGTCTCAGAAGACACCTGTTAGTGCTATTCTGCAGAAAATCAGGTGGGAAATTGTGGGCTGCTGTCCTCATCCTTCCTCCATCCATACAGTGGTTAGGGTACATACCTTTATCTAGACAGAATAAGCAAAGCATAAAATATTTCAGGGAATCACAGAAGGTTTTGGTTGGAAGGGACTTTAAAACTCTTCTGGTTCAACCTCCCTGCTGTGGGCAGGAACATCTTTCACTAGGCCAGGTTTCTCAGATTTCATCCAGCCTGTCCTTGAACGCTTTCAAGTATAGTGCATCCACAGTTGCTCTTGGCAATCTGTTCAAGTGCCTCACCACCCTCATTGTAAAAAATGCATTCCTTATGTTCAATCTTGATCTATGCTCTTTCAATTTTCAACTCTTACCCTTCAGCCTCTCACCACAGACCATGGTAAAAAGCCCCCTTAATAAATGGAAAGGCCAACATAAAGTTTAAATTGTTCCAACTCTCTCAGCCCTCCAAATATTCTCATCGCCCTCAAAGTGGAGTATCATGAAAGCAGAGTAGAGTGGTAAAATCACCTCCCTTGCCCCGCTGCCTACACTTTTTCTGTTGCAGCCAGTGGTACAATTGGCTTTCTGGACTGCAAGTGCACTTTGCTGACTCATGTTGAGCTTGTCATCCACCAAGATCCCCAAGTTCTTCTCAGCAGGGCTCCTTTCCAGCCATTCATCCCCCAGCCTTTACTGATATTATGGATTGCCCTGAGCCAGGTACAAGATCTTACACGTGGCTTTTTTGAAGTTCATGTGCTTCACATGGGCTCACTGCTTGAGCCTGCCAAGGTCCCTCTGGGTGGCATCTCGTCCTTCAAGCCCTTCAACAGCACTACCCACCTTGGTGCCATCAGCAAACCTGCTGAGGGTGCAGGCAATGCTGCTATGACAGTAATGAAGACACGAAGTAACACTGGTCCCACTATGGGCCCCTGAGTGATGCCATTTGTTATGGAACACTGAGCCATAATTCTTTGGACATGACCACACAGTGTTTTTAGACCCGTCAGAATTTTCCTACCAAAAATATTATTTCTTCAATGACTAGCTGAGAAGTGTTGCTGAATTCTCCATGTCATAGTGAAAGATAGGCTCAGGATATGAGAAACAGTTG